GTTAGAACAAGTGTACCACTCTGGTGGGAGATGTTGATAATGAGAGAAGCCTTACATGGGTGGGGCAGGGGCTGTATGGAAAATTGCCATCTTGTTTTGCTGTGAACCTAAAACTGTCTAAAAAAATTAAGTCTTAATTTTTTAAAAATACTCTTTTTTGGAAAACTGTTTTACTGACCTGAACTCAAAGTAGGAAATTTATGTGGAGTCCATAATATCTTTTTTTTTTAATGAATACATTCCTAGAGACATTGTCTTTAATGGATTTCTGAAAGAGAAAAACCTTTATTTCTCATACAGATCCTGTAATTCCTATTCCTGTACATTTTTTACAAATCATATAAAAAGGTAAAGGTCCTAAAAATATGGTTGCTTCATTGGGGTCTGCTATTAAATAGATCTTGAAAATTCTATTTAGCTAAATGTGCTATTTGGTGAAGGTGGGATTGAAAACAGTTACTAAAATAGGTTCTGTATATCATCTACGAATTGAGTTATGTCATTGTTTCCTGTAATTTCAAGTAAACTGCTTATAAGCCCCCAGTTAAACAGCCACCAAATGAGTAACTATTTAAACCTCTTAAGGATTTTAATAACCTGTAACTAGGAGAAGCTAGAATCAAAGAGACCTTATTTATAAAATTATCTAGAGAATGGTACTTAAAAAATTAAGATTACTAAATTCTGTTTTTTGTTGGAAATGTTGAAAAGGAAGAAAGTATTATAAATATTAAATTTATATTGCAACATGGACGGCAAAGCATGCATTTTATTACTTAGGGAGTACAGTAAGGTACCCCTGTAGTCAACACAGAGAACATGAGTCATCTGTGAAAGCTCACTTTTAAGATATTCTGAAAATTTGTGGCTGAAGAGATTTGGGATTCAAGTTCTAAGTCCAAGCAGGTGACTAGTATATCTGGGAAATATTCTGGATGTAAAAGCAATTAGAAAGTAGATCAGTGTGGCTAGGGGTGGGAGGAGGGAGTGACTACAAAGGGGTTTGTGGGAGTATCAGGGAGGTGATGGAAATATTCTAAAGCTGGTTTATGGTGATGGTGGCACAACTCTATAAACTTAATTAAAATCATTCAACTTAAATGGCTAAATTTTATGGTATATAAATTCCTTTAAAATATATATATATATATATTATTTTTTTTTTTTTTTAAGAATCAGCTCTATATTTATCCTGTCAGAAAATAGTTTCAAAGCTTGTAGAGTGGTCTCTATGAGCTCTTAGAGATGGCTGAAGCACGTGCCTTTCGTCCTATTTTTATAGTACTGTCTAATTTAGCACAAATGCAGTGGTGCCTGTGAATGTTGCATTTAAAATACACACTCCCTGCCCTCAAGAGTTTATCTAGAAGTGATGAGAATTTGAATTAAGATGTTGAGTGAGAGGGAGGAAAGACCTCCAGAAGTGATTTAGAAGGTATTATCAATTTTGCAGTTTCTTTAAGAAGTTGACAGGATTTCTAGTTTAGGAAAGTGTGTGATTGAAATTGTCATCAATCAGGATGGGGAATATAGTAGGATAAGCATGGAGGCAGGATGCGTACGTAGTAAATTTTAGGGGGAAAGACTGAATCTGGCAACTGTCTGGTCACTACAGAATGAGTGGCTTGAAAAGAAGTGATGCAAGATTTACTTAAGATCCCAATTTGGCCAGTTTCAGAAAAAACAATCTTTCTGTTCAAGAGTTGGATAATAAACACCTACTTTAAAGATTGCCAAGATTAGATGTGGTATGTAAAGTACCAAATGCATTGTCCCATAAGCTGTTTACATAGAATACTTACTAGGTCTAAGGCAGAATTCAGTCTGTCATCAGGGTCCAGAGAAGCTCAATTCAGTATTGTGTTTCAGCTTTTTAATAGAGTGGCATTCTGATTGACAGCAGCCTCTCCAGACTTTAGATGTATGTCAGTACTAGGTTGCATTTTTAGCCTTGCAAAGCTAAGGCTTAACACCTGGAACCTAATGACTGCAGGTTTTTCTGCTTCCTAAAGACTTTCAACAGCAAGTGATGTTTTGTTTGCTTTTGCTAGGTTCCATGGCAATCTAGCTTGTCTCTTTTGGCAAATAAGAACTATATTTTATAGTTTTATGTGCATATATAGTACTATATAAACGGCACCCACAAAGAGGAATACTGATTCTGCACAGATATTTGTGGTCTTGATAATGAATCATAGAATTGAATCCAGTAAAAATACTTGAGTAAAAGTAAAAAATAAACTGATTTGAAGCGGGGAAGAAAGGCATGTTAAATCTGTTTATCCCATTTAGGAATAACGAGCTTGCCTTTACCCAGTAATGAACAATCACAGCTTTATTATAATTTTGACAAAAATAGAATGATATAGGCAGAAGGTACAGGTAGAGCTCATTTTGAAGTCCAGTACATATTCCATAATTGCTTCTGCTGTGGTCGATTCTAAAACATCTACTCTTGAATTATTGTTGAGTAAGTTTGTCTTGCCAGTGAGTTTGACCATTGGCAAGATAGCCCTGGGCAAATTCACTGTGGATTCAGTGTGACCAAAGAAATGACAGTAGAACGTTCTTGGGTTGAAAGGTTTATACCCAACTTTATTTCCACAGTGGCAGGTCAATCACTAGAATCCCATCCACTCAGAGCGAGTCTGCATATACAGCAAGCTGGTCTCTGCCTCTGGGCCTCTCTACCCCCACAGCTGTCTCAGTCTCTGTCCTCTGCACAGCCACCACTCCAGCCTTGTCTCTGCTCTCCTGTAGCCTTGTAGCCGTGCACCATGTCACCCAGAGCACTGGGTGGAGCTCTTTATGTAGAGTCAGTAATAATACATTGCCCACACGTGTAGTGAGCTAACCAGCTAGGGCCAGGTGAGAATCCTGGCCACAGGAACCTTCACTTTATCCACAAGTTGCAATATGAATTCTCTATTTAAAAGTTTGAAGTAAAATTGGCTTTTAAGGTAGCCCAGAAGCCCAAGCTATAGGCTAAATCATTGCACAAATGCTAGATTTCAGAGAAATACAGAATCCAGAGACTATGTCTTAATAGGTGAGACTGTAAAACTTTGCTGTTGATTACTTTCTGAAGTGACCAGTATTAAGAAACATGACCAAAATCAGGTGCTGTCAGGGTTGTTGAATGCCTTATATATCAAGAATCATAAATTCAAATGTCTTACATGTGAAGTAGCTAATGTGATGCAGAGTGGAGACTGAACAAATGAAATGGCCTTCCAACTATCAATTCTAATGAAATCTTTCAAAGTTTAAATGATAGCTCAGCTGTTTATATTGAGAATAAAAAACTGGGAGGGGGGCAAATAAAATACTCGCAATGACTTTTGTGAGAGAAGGATTGTCTTGTTTGCTGCTGTATCCCTATGCCACCACACGAATTCAGCCTGCAAGCCTCATATTTGCAACCTCTGACCATTATGTAATATCGTGTTCTGGAAAAATTAAATGCTGTCATCTTAAAGGCTGAAACAATAGGCAGTAAGTTTTGCTTTGGGTTGTCATTTTGCAGAAATGTAATCAGAAATCTAAATGTCATTTCTTAAACAAGACTTACTCATTGACATTCTTGTGAATTGCACTGGTTTTCCTTTTACTAAATACAAATTATAATTATATTCACCATTTGTTTTTCATTCCTTGTGGAGCTCCTGTGTTCTGACTCCTATTAAGCATAGTGATCATTGTGGTAATGACACGAAGACTGCCTAATGGCTAAGAAAGTTCACAGGTAGGAGGAGTGGGACTTATAATTTGTAATGGAATTTCTGCAAATTTAAGGTGATAGTTCTTACTGAAAGCATAGATGTTAGATTGTTTTCATATTTGCAGCTGTATCAGCTCCACATGCCATTTTAAAGACGTAATATTAAATATTTAAAACACAGAATCTGATGACTACACCCAGGAATAATTTTTTTTAATGAAAGTTATAGTGTATGCTTTACTGTATCTAGATCGTTAAAAATACTGTTGAAGGGCATTAATTGCTGTGAATTTAATGAGTTGTATATATTAAATCTCAGTTTTGACCTACTGAACTGTGATTATTCTTGTTTCAAAAGTTAGATTCAAAGCTTTTTATTTCCCAGTGATTCAGCACTTCTATGATTTATTGAATCAGTATGATTTCTTAACTAAGTAAATTATATAATAATGGCTCATTTTCCCTTCCTCTGTGTTGTTTTCCTAGTCTTCTGCCAGGCCTAGACCATCTTCTTTGCCTCCTTCTTACAGGAGGCTTAGAGGAATGGGAGACTTTTGGCTTTGAGTCAGGTGAACTGCATTCCAGTCATGATTCTCTGTACTTGAAGGCTGTGTAAACTTTGACCAATTAATAACCTTGGATAATCTGTGAAAGGGGGTAATAACCTCACAGAGTAGCTGTGATGATTTTGAAATAAACAAAGCACCTAGTACAAGTGCTTCACAGACTCAAACTCAATATTATGTTAGTGCCATTACCCCTTCGTGGTTGTAGGTGCACCTCGTGACCAGAGACTTACCCCATGCTCTCAAACCATGCTACCCTCCAATTTTCTGATTGCCCATTTTTCTATTCTTGTTTGGTTCATGCTATTCTTTCCTTACGTCTTTTCTCGAATTACACATGTTCAGAATGTATGTTCAACACCTACTGCTTAACCTTTTTTCTCACCTCTCTGTTTTTCATCATTCAATTTCTGATACTCTACTTCCTATTTTTTTCATACCAAGCAAAAGAGAAATGATACCATCCCTTGGCTTTTCCTGAGAGTGTCTACTTTTTGGCTCATGCTGCTAAAATGTCCTTGGCTTGGGTATGCCTATTTACTTGTTCAGTGCCTGAACTTTGGATCCTTCTATGCAGTCAGCCGTTTCACATACTGAGGACTACCAAGCAGAGATCACATGTATATAAATGGTTCTCTGACCCCCAACAAGTAAATACTAGCAGTGTTTAAAAAATAAAAATGCATTCCTTATCCTTTTCTATTTGCTTCTAGGTTTTTAGAACTTCAACAAAAAATAATGGGCAGAATTTTCCTTGATCACATCGGGGGTACCCGTCTGTTTTCTTGTGCAAACTGCGACACAATCCTGACCAACCGCTCAGAACTCATCTCCACTCGGTTCACAGGCGCCACTGGCAGAGCATTTCTCTTTAACAAGGTTGGTGGGAAAACCAGTTCATTTCCTAGGTGGTTTCAGTGGTTGTATTTTGACAGCAGTACCAGAATCCTGTTCAGAGCTTTGGAGCTAGCAAGGAGTGTCAGAATGAGAGCTGCAGTCTATAGAGAGGATTGTCCACTAGTTTGTCTTGGTGGCACCATAGGAAGGCATTACTGGAATGTGATTTTTAGCCTTGGAAGTTTAAAGTCTGTGTTAAAATAGAAGGGTGGTCACTGTTGGTTCAGAAAACATTGAGTGTGAGACTTTGGTAGTGACTCCACAGACTATGAATGAAGTCACTGAGACACCCCAAAACCCATGTCACTGATTCATTCCTTACAGGGAGATAGCTGCATTAAGGTGTCATAGCTTGTCAGTGAAAGTGAGTAAGGAACATCTAACCAACTTCCTTGCGCTAATTTATGTTCACCAACCATCCTTCCGATTGTGATTTGGTTTATTGCATAGTTTTGCCAACAGGAAGAATTTCCTGATTTACAAAGAAATGTCTGCCTGATTCTTTAATTTCTGGCTTGCTTTTTTGCAATGAGTTGATGTGATTCTGTGTACTAGCAAAGTTGAGTTTCCAGGTTTTTTAGGCTAAGAAACAGACTTAGTCCAAGGTACTGCTCTTAAAAGGTCAACCAAACTTCCTCAGTGTACACCCCGCTATTCCATTTAGAAACAAGTTTTTCCTCGGAGTAGATAGTTTGTACTCCAGGATCTTTATTTAGGTTGAGAGCAGAGGTTGGCACACAGGCAGGCGAGCTGCCTGTTTTTGTAAACAAAGCTTAATGAAGCACAGCAATGCTCATTGATTTATGTGTTGTATGTGGCTGCTTTTATGCCACAACAACAGAACTATTTAAATAGTTACACCAAACGCCATAGACGCCTTAAAGCCAGAAATATTTTCTATCTAGCTCTTTACACAAAAAGTGTAGCACAGAGGGGATTGTTGGATTTTGAGAATTATTGGAAATTCTTAACAGATTCTTTGAACCTACTTGAAAACTGTATGGTCTTGCAGTGTATGGTCTGTAGTAGGTTTAGTTTATCCCAGTCTGTTTCTTCATAAAATGTATTTTCAGAAACAAATTATATAGAATACCTTTTTTGTACTAGGTTTTTTTATATTGATAGTCTTACATACATTCTTCACTGAATGGTGAATGATAACATTTGGACCCAAACCAAGATTTTATTGACTCCAAGTCAAGGATTCTTCAGTACAACCCAAAAGTAACTAGTACATATAAATAGTGTGGCTTGGACGAGTACAGTGTTGCATGATTGCATTAGAATGTCCAGTGCAGTGCATTAGTATTTACCTGTCATAGCAGCGTCTAAAAATCACTCCTTGGGAAGGTTATGATAGGTTGACTAAAGGCATAACTGCTCTGGTGTAATTACAGCAACTTCAGAAGACAATCAAAATATGTACTTTTTTGGCAAGTAATTTATATGCCTTTGCACTTCTGTTTTCACATGTTTCTTAGGTAGTTAACCTGCAGTACAGTGAAGTTCAAGACCGGGTCATGCTCACTGGCCGCCACATGGTTCGAGATGTGAGCTGCAAAAACTGCAATAGCAAACTGGGATGGATCTATGAGTTTGCCACTGAAGACAGCCAGCGTTATAAGGAAGGTCGCGTGATCCTGGAACGTGCTCTAGTTCGAGAGAGTGAGGGCTTTGAGGAGCATGTACCATCTGATAACTCTTGAAGAAAAAGAGATAACTCCGTCTTTTCCCAGGTCTCCTTCACTGAAAACAAAAATCTACTTACATACACTGTCACCTTAGCATCAGAGTCGGATTCATGAACTGTGGAACAAGAGGTTGTGAGAACTAAGATGGAACCTTTTTTTCTTTCTTTCTTTTTTTTAATTTTCTACTTTCCATCCGACAGCAGTGTAGAGAGAATATTATGCAGATGCTGTTAATTTTTTTCCCCTATGTTTACATCTTGAGGCAGAATAATACATCTGCAACTACTAGGTGAGCTGTGTGAAGAAAAAAATCTGGGCTGTTAGAGTAAAAGTGTGTTTTATGTAAATTTTGAAAGGAAAATGTGTCAAGAGCATGGTTTTTAAACTTAGTTGGGCTTTATTTTAAAACTTTGTTTTTTAAACCCAGTTACTTCACTTGATTTGCTAGCTTCAGAGAAGAAATCCGAATTCGTGACCAGTGCGCTCAAGGTTCAGTGTTAGTATGGCTTGTGCTGGCCATTGTGCCATATTCTTGTTGGAGATGAACCGTAGCAACAGAGCCCATTCTTCCTGTCAGTCTTGACCCAAAGAAGTCACCATTCCTAGTTATTTGTCACCATGTAACTGGTGTCGATTGGAAACTTACCTGAAATGGGCAAAACTGCTTGGTTGTTTTTTCCATGTAACTTAAACATAGTAATATAAATAAAGTAATAGTTGGATGTTTTCGTCCTGTGTTGCTTGTAAAAACACCTTTTAAAAGAGCAGAATATTTGATAAGTGATTTTCATAGTAGTGTTTCTCATCTCTTAAGCTAAATTGACTGTACAAGATACTACTTTATTTATATTAAAGCATACTGTTTAAACCCACAGTATTGCATTTAGAAAACAGTTGAACAGAAGGTCAGTGTTCATTCATGTAGAAGGCATTTCATCTGCATCTGTTTTAAAAGAAGGAGGGAAATGAAGCAGCTGATGTAAAAATACTGCTTTGCAGAATAGTAAAGCCTATCCTCAGTTTTGCATTGATTTTGACAAGTCTGGAGCCTAGTAATTTCATCAAAGGACTACATCTCTAATTAGCATTTTCTCAGATCTTCCCTCAGAAGTTCAGCTATTAAAGTCAAAATTTTACTTGGTCCCTTTAAGTGGAAAGGAATCAAATTTGACTCAGGGTGTGTTATTTTAGCTCCAAATCTACATTATGAAGTAATTAAAATGTGAATTGTCTTTATCCAAACTACTGCTAGATATTCTAGTTACTTATTTCTAGTGGAATAAATGACATTAAAATTTACTAATTATTTAAATGAATGAATGAATGTTGGCTCAATTTCTAGGTCTTTGTCTAGAAAGGAAATTTAGGAAAATCTGTCATTGGTATTAGATGTGACTGAGTACATTTAAGGTTAGGTTTACTTGCCCTTAGGCTCTTGCTTAGAGGCATAGGTCTCTGATTAAGTAGGTGTGTACTACTACATTTGAGATAAATGAAGAAAAAATCGCTCCACCGTGGAATAAATCTTCAAACACTATGAAACAGCATTCATTCCTATTCATTTCCATACTGGCCTTTGATTACATGCAGATTCCTGTTAGCATGCCTTACCTATAGCACTATGTGCACTTGCTGTCACAATAAAGTATATTTTGTCTTGCATTGGTGCAATACTGCTACTTATTTTCCACTGATCCTTGTCTAGTTGTCTTAGTTTTTATCCATGAACATGTATGTCATACCTTTGCGTGGCTATAGTTTTCCTCAGTTGGCAGTGATTAGGTGACATTAGCTTATTTACTCTAATTCTCACTTGGAGATAATTGAATTTACCAAATAACTTCTCTGAGATGATTTTGCCTCACACACAACTACAGCTCAGTTTATATGAACAAATAAAATGTCATATTGCTAAGTTAACTTAGGTGACTACAGCAGGTACCATAGCAATGAGTTCCTTTTGCTTTTACAAGCTTCAATTTACAAAACAGCAATATGGAAGATGCATTCAAATTGGATTATTTATAGAATAGCAAACACACTTAAGATGGGAAGCCATGAATGGGTATGATTTTGCTTTGGGATGGGAAGGTTAACCATCTATATTCAATTAATATACTGCATAATAAGTGGGTTACTGAGGGGTGTAACAGGCTAATAAGCTTTTCTCTTTGTAGACTTAAGAATCTTAGTTTTAGGTGAGTGACCCTAAATTGAAATTAACATGTATGCTTCTATTTAAAGAGACCCTGAAGTGAATAGTCTGGATTAAAATGTAATTATGTAATGATATGTTAAAATTTGGAGTGGTTACTTTGGGATTGGAGGGGGAAAATAGCTTATCTGTTTTAGATTTACCAATTTGTAAAAGTCAAATGGGATGTTTAAATGGAGAGTCTGGGCCCCCACCCCAGCCCAGGCCTAAATCCCACAGGTAGTTTTTGATCAGGCAGGATTGGGAAACTGCTGATGTAAAATATTCAGAGATGTTTTTGATGGTTCATTTCCACAAGTTATTAAAAGTGCCTCACAATTTTAACATATATCCACTAATTGTATATCTCATTATCACCAGCTTCCCACCTGGAGCCATATGAAACCAAAACTCTTCTAGGGAGATGTGAATTGGGAATAGTGCAAGATTAAACTGAAAAACAGGCTAGCCCTTGCACTGATCTGAAGACAGTTATTACAGAAATAAAGCAGAACTAAAAGAAATTAGTGTGGTTACTCATCCAAAATTGTGTGTAAATGTGTGGCTTCTTTATTTTAAAATACTGGGACTTCCCAAATTGGAACATATTAAGGCATGAAATAACCAAAGTACCATTAAAGGCATAAGGGGTTTGATTCTGGGCATCACTCTACATATTTAGGTTTTCTAAATCACCTGCAATCTGACCACTTGGAAGGCTTGTTGAATTATATTCCCATTCCCTCCTCCAGCACTGGATTGGTCTGAGGTGGAGCCAAGATCAAATTTTTGCTGAACTCCAAAGATAACCTATCAGCTGGTCTATGAGAATCACTGTTGAAAGGATTATTCAAAAATAATTCAGTAAGTTCCTTTATGCACAGTTTTGCTTTCTGCTGTTTAAAGTTGAGCTGGTCAACTGGTGTCCAGAAGTAGATGGAAGGCTGATAGTAGCCTAATGGTACGTTGCAGTGCCTAAGTCATTCACCTCATTTCTTGTTACCATGTAGGCATTTTATCATCTAGTATCACGAGAAAAATATAGTACAATAGGATATTTTGTGAGACGGTGTTCACCACGTAACAGAGTATACTGTCGTATTTTATTGTTAGTCTCTACTATGCTTAATTTGTAAATTAAACTCACGATTTGTACGTACAGGAAAAGATTATATAGAGAGTTCAGTACTATGCATTTTCAGGCATCGATGTGGGGGTATTGCAACGTTATCTCCTGCAGATAAGGGGAACTATAATGTATGGTTGTGGAGTAAAAGGCCTACAGGCTTAGAAGTGTAACTAGGAAGAAAACATGATATGATTTGCACCTGCTTAGCAATGACCTTTAAAAATGGGTAAGTAGTTAGATAAGGAGAGTAAAAGTCTCTGGGAAAGCTCATAGAAAAATGACTAGGTCTTAAAGACCTGTTTTAAATGCTGATGATTTATTAGCTACGTGACTTTGGGAAGTGTGTGTCAACCTCTGAACTGCAGTTTTCTCAAGTATGAATTGTAAAAACAAGCCCTTACTTAAGTGATTCTTGTTAGGGTATAGTGAAATACATGGCCTAAAAACTCGTTATGCATTATGCAAATACCTGGGATCAACTGTTTTTTCAGTAGGCTTGAACAACCCTTTACAATTTAATTTTGTTCTAAATTAGAGAATGACCAGAAGGCTTTCAAAGTTCTTTAAATCCTTCCGGCTCTTGATACATACTGCTGAACATTTAAGCAAATTAGTAAGGCTTGAAATCTGCTCTTTATCAAATGTTACCATCTTGACCTTTTGCCTTAGGGAATCTTTCATAATCTGATACAATAGACATTTTACGTTGCTTTCAGAAGTCTTCAAAGCTCCTTTTTTTCTCCTATCATGGAGCAGCAGGAGGAAAATTTTAAAAGTTTCATTGAATACAGCTCAGTGATTAAATAAGTAAAAATCAAAAGTCTCCATTACTTTTGAGAAGAATCCTGCAAGAATTTTCACTAATAGGTATTGACTAGTTACTTTTCAAACCCAATTTTCTTTCTCCTGTGTTTATCTCTGCCTCACTGTCTCATACTGTGGTTATAATAATGTTAGTCCAGATTTTTAAGGCTCTTAAGATGGTGAGAAAAATGGTTTATGAATCATCTCATTTTCATACTCCTGCAGATTTACCCTAAAGATGAATATTTCTTGTCCCTGGATTTAACGCAAAGTACAAAAACAAACTCCTTTTAATAATTAAAAAACTTACATCCAGAGCAAAGTCCAGCTTTGAAAAAGGAGGTATTTGTGTTCCTGAGGATTGACCAGAGGTTTTCAGTGACTGGTGCAGTTTGGAAACCCCGCTAGTGTCACCGTCAGGAGGTCAGCTCCAGCTCTTCTCCAGAATTTCCCTCCTCTTAACACCCACTGTTGAGACAACATGGAGTGATATGTCAGCATTTGGCCACACTACCTTCTCAGCTAACCCACTCTCTACCTATAGCCCGCCCAGAATATACTGGGCAACATGGAGGCATACCTGTGAACACATGAAAATTCCGTGAGAATTTTAAGCCACCACCCTTCCCCCAGGTTCTAAACCAACTGAAAGATGTGCAGAGGCATTTCTAAAACCTGGCAAAATGCCAAAAGGAATAAGGTATTTCAATCCCTTTCCTAAGTCCTAGCTCCTGTTTTAAAATAGGCTCCTTGGAAAAAGAGTTTCAAAGATTGGGAGGGGGAGTATTATTAAAGACCTGAGAAATGAGTAAAACTAAGGTCCAGCTGAAGTTTACACCGAAGAAAAAGTTTAAAATCATCTGGAACCCACGCTACCAGAAAAGTACCAGTAGATGGCATGAGTATGCAAAAATTTCAGTTCTTAATGGCCAGTCTGACCTGTCTTTTGGAAGAGTATCATCTGGGGCAGTCTATACAGTTGCCCTTAGTCTGCTAACCAGAAGGAAAGATGATTTTACTCCAGTGGGGTAGAGTTAAGAGTCAAAGGAAATTATATATGAGAAAATGCTTTGGAAACTATAAAGTACTCTACAGATAATACTGTTGCCATTTCTGTGATGTGACTTTTTTTCTGTCATGTTTTAGTATCTAAAGCTTTAGTATCTAAAGCCTTAGCTTAGACAACTGCAAAAAAGTTCTCCAGTTTTTTAATATTGGCTTTTATTTTGATACTAACAATCTGAAGTCACAGATAAGTAAATGCCACAGTGTGACTTTGTAGTTAGTTAACCTCTTGAAGCCTCATTTCTCAACTCTAAAATAATGGAAAATAATTTATGGAGAACATATGTGAAAGCTCTTTATAAGCCACCACAGTATTCTAAAAATAAAATTCTTAAAAATTGGGTGAGGTTCAGTGAGTTAATAAATATAGGCTCCAGCTGCTAGAAAGTATTTGCTCCTTCATTAATCCATTCAGCAATATTTGAGTGCCTATTACGTGTGTCAGGCATTATACTGATTGTTAGTTAGGCACACCTGGCACCTATTTCCCAGTAGGCATATGAAGGATGTTTGCAAAGCCCAGTAAAAATCCTGAAAGCCACTTTATCAATACTGAATGTGTCCCTCCTGCAGTAAATGAAAGGCATTCAACATAGGGGTGCATAATCTCATGAAGCAGAATAAAACATTTCATTCTTCCAGCAAGTGATTAATTTTTAAGTTTGAAAAGAGGTAATAATCTACCAGATTAAATAAAAATAACAGAAATCATCTTTCCATGTGCAGTGGATTCTGAAATTGGATTAACCTTACTTCTAAAACAAGCTTCATCTGTCTCCCTTCCAGAAGCAAATATAAATCAGCATTTTCAAGTCACATGGCCATAAGAAAAACGCCAGCTCACATCCGACAGCCATGCCAAGTAACTGAAAGGTGAGAGCTGAGGCTCAGAGCCTTCTCTGCACCAGAAACATTCTGGGTGAAGTGTTTTTTAGGTTGGGTTGGGAAGGAAGAAGAAAGGCATAAGTGAAAGAATTGTAAATTACAGGCCCTCAGCTTTGGGAATTGTCTGATCACTGATCTCAAACTCAAATGTCTTTGGATGCCAGAGAATTCATTCAAGTAAGGACAGTGGGGGCTACAGAGTGAGGAGGGAGAGCATATCCCACCTGGACAGTCTCTTTCAACCGAAAACAGAAACAGCTGGCCAGACACAGCTTATTCTTTGGGCTTTAGCTGTACATCCCTCATGCAGTCCAACCTCTCATTTTAAACATTTGTAAACTAAGGTCAGCAGAGGTGAAATGGCTGAGTCAAATTATCTTTGTAAGTAGCAGGGAGAAGAGTATTTCAGGGTGGGGCGTTTCACACAACAGAGTGCAACGGAATACACTAAAGGCCACATGCTTTTATTCACATTTGCAAAGTAACCTTGGGAGGCAGACAACATGTTAAGAGCGACTGCAGCCAGAGCCTGTTTCAAAATCCCAGCTCTAACAGTAACTGTGTGTGTGCCCTTGGGCAAGTTCCTTAGACTGTGCCACAGCTCCCTCAGTTCTAAAAACAGTGTAATAATACTGACTTCATAGAACTGTCATGAGGCTAAAATGAGTTATTATGTGGAAAGTGCTTAGATCGGTGACTGGCTGTGAGTGTTATCACTCCCATTTACAGATGAGGAAATTCATACTTGGAGTTCAAGGTCATATACCTTTACTTAGAGGCAAAAAATCTGCCCATGTGCATGTATACACACACAGCTGGTATGGAACCTTCTCTCTGAGTCAAAGCCTGACCTGAGCCTTATGTCTGCAATGACCAACTTGGGAAGGATAGCAAAAGGAGCGGGACTGGAACAGAGGCCAGAGCTAGGTGGCCAGTGAGATTCTTCCATCTTTCAGGAGTAGTATAGGCTTTTAGAAAAGCAAGCACAGGGATGAAGCAGTTTCTGTATAACAGTTTCTCAAACTTCAGCATGAATTAGAATCAGCTGGAGGGTGTGTTAAAACAGATTGCTGGCTCCACTCCCAGAGTTTCTGACTCAGCAGGTCTGGGGCAAGGCCCAAGAAGTTGCATTTCTAACAAATTCCCTGGTGATGCTAAAGTTGCTGGCCCAGGTTCTACATTTTGAGATCCACTGATGTATCTTTTGTCTAATCCTCAGAATAATCTTATGAGCTTGGCATTTTCTCCATTTTATAGTGAAGAAAACAAAGATCAGAACACGGCTGACTTACCAGTGTCACACCATTTATAAGGACTGGCACTGGGTCTTGAATAGGTTGGTCTGACTCCAAAGCCTGTGCTTTTCTTCCCTCACCATGGGGCATGGGGCATGAGCACTTATGCTCCGCAGGCACAGAGCTATGGGCCAGTGGCATGAAGACGAGTAGGCTGGAGGTGCAGGGGGAGAAGACCCAAGGCAGTCTTCCCTGAAGGGAAGGTCTTCCTGTTGTTGCAACGGTCTGCCCTCCCAGGTCACCAATTACCCTGCTGGCCATACATTCACAGCCACGAAGTGAGACCAGGTCACATTCCTGACACCCGCTTCCTTGGCTCCCCACTCCCTGCAAGGCCCTGTTTGTCTCCACAGCCTCACTGCTCCCAAAGCTCCATCACACTTAAGTTCTTGTGCACCCCTGTAAGTGACGTGCTCTCTCCAGCTCCTTGTGCTGTGTTCAGTTTTCCCTCTAACTCCTTTGCCTGGAACACCCCTCTTTGTCCTTGAAGACCCAGCAGCTCTGACCATCCATCCCTCAGTCCCACCAGTGTGGGTTATATGCTCTTCTCGTACCTTCTCAAGAATACCGTGGCTTACCCCTTTCATAGCTCTTACATACATTGTTGGATAATTATGAATTTGCTGATGTATTGCTACATCTATAGTAAATTTCTAATCTAAACCCACTTTTGTCTCTTAAGTCCTAGGGGCTATTACAATATCTGGTACAGAGTGAGGCAGTGATCCCCAAACTTGTCTGCACATTAGAATCATTGGGGATCTTTTAAAAATGCCAAAGCCCAGGCCACACTCCACACCTATTAAGTCACAGTCTCTGATGGTGGGACAGGGCATCAGTACTTTTTCAAATCTCCCTCGGTGATTTCAATGTGCAGACAAGCTTGGGAAGCACTAAAATAGAGTTTCAGGATGATTGGATGGATGATCAGGTTGAAGGTTAAATAGGAGAGTATCAAGGGAGAAGGGTTTTCAACAAGTAACAGCATAAGCAAAAGCCCAGAGGCAGCCAGGTACACAAGAACTGATCAAAAACTGAAAAGGTAGTGAGGAGGCAGACTGAAGGGCCTGACTGGTCCTGCTCAGGCATTTGAATTTTATACTATAAGTAGATGGCAACCATTGAAAGAATATAAGTAGAAGAGTGAAATAAACAAATACATGTTTTAGAAAGCCAGTTGGCAACTGTGGTATCTTACTGGAGTGGGGAGAGACTGGAAGCAGGAAAAAAGTGGTTTTTCTGCTTTACTCTCCTGGGAGGGACAGGCGGCCCAAGCGAAGCATGGCTGTGGGAGCACTTGCGGCCACTGGGGCAGAGGGGCTGCTCGTCCACAGCTGCTGGTAGGACTCAGATCCAGGACTTCCCACCTCAAGCCCCGTAACTCTTCAGACTTCCAGTTATCAGCCCCTCCAGGTGGTTTCTTACTGCATATCCTGGTGTGAAAGTAAAACTTAAAAAGTCCAAACACAAAAGCAAGCAGGCGTTCATTCATCAGTGGCCACTAAGAAGCAAAGCTCAACCTGCAGATTTAACGATTACCTGTAGAAGGAAGCACAGTGGCGAAGCCACCATGCACAGCTCCAGTTTTATCTTCTAGGTCATCAGTCCCTCGATCAGCTCTCTATACTCTAGCGATTATCCTCTGAATTGGATCTCCCTGCCTTGCCCAGGGAGGCTGTGCATCCTGCTGCTATGCCATTTTACCTGAAACTAAGTCTTCCTCTGGCCAGCTGCATACTGGAATGGCTTTTCTTTCCCCATTCCCCCACTGGTGAAGGAGGTGGGGAAGGATGGGGAGGAGGGTGAACTGGATGGAGTCTGAGGACTCCACACCCTTGGGCTTCTGCTTCCCAACTGGCTGTGCTGGAGTTCCCAGCCACACCTAGAGAAGGTCCCAGAGCACCTGCCCAGGAGGAATCAGACCCCATGCACTTGATCTGGTTTTCTTTTGTCCTTTCTTTTCCCCTCTTTCCTCATCTCAATTTTTTCTCTCTCCCTTCTGCTTTTTTTCTGTTTATTTCTTTCTCCCCTCTGTTTCTTTTCTCTGCAACCACCCTGTTATGCTCTGACCATTTCTTCTCTCCCATTTGTCTACCTATTCCCCTCCTATGCCAGAGCTGGACTTCCTACACTCAGATTTTCCCCTGGCTGAAGAGGAAACTGGGGACTGTTTGCCAAGCCAGCACTTGCAGAGCTACAGCCACCCAGAAGGGGGCATCCTTTCAATAGGCACAAAGGCACTGGATGCGCTGGCTACCCTCTGCTTTGTATTCTCCCATTTCTGTGTCTCTGCTCTGGAGCAACACAGTGGGGTTGGCAGAGCATGAGCTCTGGAGTCAGGCCTATGTTTAAACCCTGGCTCGGCCATTTACTGATTTTGTAAACTTGACCATGTTATTTGACCTCTCTGAGCCTCAGTTTCCTTATCTGTGCCCGCCTCTTCCTTGATTTTGGCTCTAAATGCCTAGGCAAGCAAGCATTCAGTCATAGTGAACACAGAAGAAAGTCTTGAATGCTCAATCAACCCCTTACTAGCCATGTGACCTCAGTACCTAGCAGCCCCAAATCCCAATTTCCTAACCTCTCCAGTGGATAATAAAAGATCCAAGCTCGTAGGGTTATTCTGAAGATGAATGAGATAACTCAGGGTAAGTACTTAGCATCTGGACACATAGTAAGCATGATTGCCAATTGTATGCTGTGATTGTTGTATATTATTTGTGTACTACCTGGCATATGGGAGGTACCCGTGGTAGCCAGCCTCCAAGATGGCCCCAGGGAGCCTCACCTTCTGGAACCAGCATATCCTTGAGTAGTTTCCTCCCACACTGAATCACACCTGCTCTGTGTGAATACAGTTCAAGGGACTGTGTGTGACTTCTAAGGCCGAGTCATAAAAGCCATTGCAGCTACCACTTCAGCCTTTTGAATCACTTGCTCTGGGGGAAGCCAGCCCCCATGCCATGGGATCATGCAATGTGTGACTTCTAAGGCCGAGTCATAAAAGCCATTGCAGCTACCACTTCAGCCTTTTGAATCACTTGCTCTGGGGGAAGCCAGCCCCCATGCCATGGGATCATGCAAGCAGCCTGCGGAGAAGCCCCCGGGAGAGGCACTGAGTCTTCCTGCCAACAGCTGCACGGACTTGCCAACCATCTGCGTGCGCCACCTTGGAAGTAGATCCGCCGCCCCAGCCAAGCTGAGCGGACTGCAAGCCGACTTGTATCTGATGGCAGCCTTGTGGGAGACCAGAGCCAGGACTACCCAGCCAAACCACATTCCTGACACGTAGAAACAGAGCGAGATACTTTTTGTTGGTCTAAGCCACTCATTTTTTACATGGCAATAGTTAATTAATGTAGTGCTAACAACAGTTAACTAATACTTAAACGAAAAATTTTCTCTCTTGCAAGTGAGAAACAAGATTGGCATTTCCATACAGTCTACAGTGTGAATAGCCAGGAGCACCACTGGACAATTTCCTGACTGGGGGGCATTTTCCTCCTCCAAGCAGTGGGTATATCCCCAATGGGCTGGGCCAGAGGGAATGTCAGATCAGCCAGCAAACAGGCCGGCCACCTCGTCATGGTCAGAGCTGATGGTGGTCCCAGGGGAAGAGCCAGTGCCAGGAATCAGTGCAGAGCAGGCCTCTGCCCTGTAGCCAGGAAGCCCAGAGAAGAGCTCAGAATTCTG